AATGAAAGTGTCAGAAATTCTAGTAGGAAATTTGCAAAAGGTTTTGCATGGTAAAGGAGCTCCAGTGGCACACTAGTTAAGGCATTAGCTGCTAACCAGTTCAAACCTACCAGCTGCTCAGTAGGAGAAAGATGAGGCAATCTGCTTAGATAAAGATTTACAGCCTTGGAAACCCTATGGAGCAGTTCCACGCTGTCCTATAGGGTTGCTATGAATCAGAATTGACTTGATGGCAGTAGGGGTGTTTTTTTTTTTTTTTTTTTTTTAATGGTAGATGAGTTAATACATATCTAAAGTTGTCTTCAATTTTGGAGAAATTGGGGAAGTTTATGTAGAATTTGATGTCCTCCAAACAAAAGCAACAGAAAGATCTTAATATAGTAGAATGGTTTCTTAAAATAGAAATAAAAAAAATATATTAAACTACTAATGTTAAATGATAATTTTTTTCAGCTAAAATTATGACTTTCCTACAGATACAAAAACATGGACATGTGTTCACGATTTTACTTAACTCATTAATGAGGAGATTGGTAAGATGTTAAACCAATTCAAAGAGAATCCAAACAGCAAACACACTTAAAGATGAGGAAGATGGACATGAGCACACACTTGGAGGCAAAATTCGCCTTTCCTGCAATGGTGGAGGAAAGGCCACAGACAGAATTTACGTGACCACTGTTGTTGTTAGTTGCCTTTGAGTCACTCAGACTTGTGGTGACCCCTTGCACAACCAAAGGAAACACTGCCCAGTCCTGCACCGTCCCCAGGGGAGGTTACAGATGAGCCTCTTGAGATCCAGTTTTCATTGCCTGAGTTTTGGAAAGTTCCGTCTTTCTTCCCAGTTAGTCTTAGCCTGGAAGCTCCACAGAGCTGTTGAGCATCACAGCAACCCACAGGCCCCCACAGAGGGATGGGTGATGGCTGCACATGAGTTACGCTGGCCCAGAATCCACCCTGGTCTCCTCCGTGGAACTCAAACCACGACTGCCCTCATTACATGCCTTTCCTGTTGAAAAGAATTACTCAAGATTGCTCTCACACATGTACAACTTAGTGTTATAAAATGGGCCCTTTAGAATCTCATAACTTGGGAGGCTGTGCTTTAGACAATGCTGAGTTTTTTGTGGAAGCAAACCTTTTTTACCTGCATAGGTCATTACCTTATTTATTGTTGTACTTCCAAAACCTGTTTATGGGAGATGCATCCTAAATGCTGGCTAAATGAATGAGTATGTGCTTACAATGAGTCAGGCATTGAATTAGGCCCTTTACATGTACCATCTATTTAATCTTCCCAATACTCTTTTGAGATAAATATTGTTTTCATTTTAGTGAATAGAAACTAACGTTGAGATGTGAACTGATGGAATGTTCTGTAGCTGTTACATGTCAAAAGTTGGAGGTGGAGGAGGATGAAGGAGGATTTAACTAGGCCTATGCTCTGGTAGCATAATGCCTAAGGCACTTGACTGCTAACCAGAAGGCTGGTGGTTCAAACCCACCAGCCACTCCTCGGAAGGAAGGTTGGGCGATCTACTTCTGTAGTGATACCACCTCGGAAACCCAAGGAGGGGTTGCTATGAGTTGGGACCGACTCGATGGCACTTAACAACAACAACAATATGGCTCCAAAGCCTGTCCTTTTTCCTTTGTTCCCATTTACTGTGTGTCCTTTTGATTCACTATCATTGAACCTGTAGGTAAAGAGATATTTGTATGTTACACTGATATAACACACTCTCTCAATGTGCCTAACGTTGGAGGTCTTTGCTTTAAAAGAAAAAAATAAGCAGCAGTGCTCAGGAGAAGCTAAGTGTAAATAAGAGACACATGAGTTGTCTTTAGTGCAACTTTGCAAATTAGCATATTATAAACCCAGATTCTCCCTGCCCAAATGCTCCTTTCCCAATAGAAAGGATAGTAACAACAGATGAACTCAGCACTGTTTATGTGCACTGTTCTGTTTTCACAGAAATCAGAACAGCACTTAGGAAAACAGCAGCAACCAACAGTCATTGAATGCTTACCATTACTGCGAATTACCTGCAAAGACACACTGTGAGGTATACTGTTTCATCATCTTAGTGCAGGTGAAGAAGTTGAACTGCATCAGGTCAACTTTCCAACATCATAAAGCTGAGTTGCAGCTCTGGATTTCGACTTGACACTTGCAACCACTGGCTTGTCCTTTCCCAGAGTCGCTCAACTGTCTGCATAGCCTGTTGAGACTTGTTCTGTAATTACTTGTCTTGGGTTTTTACAAACCCCTTTGCCCTGTTCATCACCATCTCCCAAGGTATTGGGACGCCCACAGCCTCTGGCATCAGAGAGCTGGTAACTGCAAGCTGCCTACTTGGGAGCTGTTTTCCAGCCATGTGTCACTTGCGAATATTTGGGTATTTTACATTCACCCTTACAGAGGCAGGGGTCGGAGAACAGGGGAGAAGGGAGGTCCTTTGAGGCCTCACATATGTGACTGTGAAAAAGATGTGGACCAAATGTTAATTTGAAATCCTTCTCCCAGTTCCCTAAACCCCCAAATAATTTCCTGCTTTCTTCTCTTGCCAGAAAATAGGCTGCCCTTAGAATGAAGTGGTAGTATGCTTAGACTCTCCACATGAGTCTTGACATGAATAACAGTGCGATGCTGGCCTGTAGAAGGTGTCAATAAATGACCAAACTCAGTGATCTACATGGACGATTTCATTAAATCCTCACAAGAACTCTGAGATAAGCACTATTACCATCTCTTACTTTGGATATGAGGGAGTGAGGTTAAATAACCATCTCAGGTTAAGCACCTTGCCCAACACTGCAAGAAGGCTGTGATTTCTCAACGCCAGAAGTGTCCCATTGAGATCAAGTGTGCTACCAAAAGCAACATGGGGGCTATTTGAAACACAGATCTTATGCCCATTTCCTCATGTCACTTAGCAGAACACCCTGGGAAGTGGTGCCATTCCTTCCAGAAGCACTAGACCATGAGATTTTTATTTATGAGGGCTGTGATACTCATCCTCCTCAAACCATACGCATGCTTACCCTTCCCTCGAGAATACCTCCTGATTCACACCCCACATAAAAGCTAATATTTCTTTCAAAGGAGATCATGAAAAAAGCTTCGTCATTACTATGGCATAGACATTAAGAAACATTACGAAGCCATAAACCGATGAAGGCTACGGTAATTAGGCAAATGGTTACTAATTGATGGATTACTTTTAGTGGTGGAATAGTGATCCTATGTGGGCTTTTCTTACATTAAGGGAGAGATGAAGAGATGAAATCTAGACACTTGGAATCTAAACTAAGCTCCCATGCTTCCTTCAGTATTTCAAGGGTTTCATCCAAAAGGGTCATTACCTCAAGTTGGGAAGTGGGGGAAGTGCATGTTTTTATACTTGTTAGGAAGATTTTACTCCCTTGTTTGTGAACTCAGCGTGAACAACACTGAGTGTGTTCCTTGTAAAATTTAGACCTTGTTAGCTGCAATCTGTGAAGATTTAGCTCAGCAATTTTTAAAGGTTATTAAGTGCTAGAACCCTCTTCTTGAATCAAGTATGAATCAAATATGTAAAACAGACATAACGGTAGCTGCAATGGGTGAAGCATGAACCTCTACCCACATCAGCCCCTTGTCCCTCTAGCAGGCACAAGAGCACCCCTGGGCTCCTCAGAACACCTTGGAAAACCACCAGTCAAGGCTCAGGAGTGAAGGGATCTGTCCTAGGTCTCGCAGCTACAGAGTAAGAACTAAGCAGCAAAAGGAATACTTGTTGCTTTGTAGGTCCCTTCCCAAAGCAATAGCAGTGAATGGAACAATGAAAGAAGTTAGCATGGTCGCTCTCTCATTGAAAGACCAAAGTAGAAAGCATGAGTTTGGAAAGTCTTGGTGCCTAAAGTGCTCAGCTTCTCAAGGGTATGTCACTTCCCCACTCAGGGCTGTTTTCTTTCAGAAAAAGGAATGCTGTGGACGAGAATCAGGGCTTCTCTACTTTCTTGTTCTTCCCTGAAGCCACACAGTTCCGGTGCCCTGCACGTGTTGATCATGAAGGAGGAGGGAGGAGGAGGAATGCCTATCTGCAGGCACAGTCTCAGGGCAGGAGGGTAAGCGAGGTCTAGAAAAGACCCCCTTTCCTCTGAAGGGCTCCGCTAGTGGGCAAATTCCCTTTCTCTTGCTCATCCCACACCCTAATTGAGAGGCATGCTCCAAAGGACCTGCACAGTTCATTATACTGTCATATTTGATGCTTGCAGGTGTTTCTTGACCTTCACAATATTCAAATACTCTTGACCTAAATGAAGTCTTAATTTGTTCCCTGAAGGTATTCATTTCAGGGCCAGGGAGTTAGTGTGATTACATTTCACTTTAGATGTTGAGGCATATAAACTACTGTATTTTCCTATTTAGAAAATTCTTTTCTAAAATTTCATTTTTCTTAAATTCCCCTCCTACTAAGGAGATCCAATGTACCGGCTCTGTGACCAAGTTAATTTGAAAGGCTTCCTCCCTTCCCTTTCTCTAGGACTGGTATGCTCTTATTTTCTCTAGGATTCCCCAAACCCTTATCCTGATTGCCACACACTTTTATATTTTTGTTGTGTTGTTGTTATGTGCCGTTGAGTCGGACTTGACTCATAGTGACCCCTCCTTGGGTTTCCGAGGCAGTATCACTATGGAAGTAGAGTGCCCTCTCTTCCTTCTGAGGAGTGGCTGGTGGTTTTGAACTGCCAGCCTTCTGGTTAGCGGTCAAGTGCTTAGGCACTATGCTACCAGAGCTCATTGGATACACAAAATCCATGGTTCCCTGTACTAACCACTTATGCTTGTTAAGTAGCATGGCTCACACAGATCTGGAATTTATCGTCCCTTTAAGGTAAACTCATCTCAGAAAATTTCAGCAGGAATATGATGCTTCATTATAAGGGTGTGGGAAAGGCCATTGGGATTGGGAGAGGGAAGGGAAGGGAAATATTTTGGATACAGCATACTTTACCAGTTATGTCATGCTGTTTGAATGACTCATTGTAGATCTGATACTGATTTGGACAATGTTTCTTCAACCACTTGCAGACATCCTGCTGGGTCCACAGAGCCACTGGTTTTGACAGCTTCACTGTAGAAGACTATAAATAAAGGAGGAAAAGGAGGTCTGTTAATGCCAGCCCCATGTCTGCGAAGGCACTGCTATTAAAAATTCTTCTTGTTGGTGTTAGGTGCCATCAAGTCAGTTCACACGCACAGTGACCCCACATATAACAGGAGGAAACCCTGGTTCTGCACCATCCCCACAACTGTGGCTGTGTTTAAGCCTATTGCTGCAGCCACTGTGTCAATCCACCTCATGGAGGCACCTCTTCTTTTTTGCTGACCTTCCACTTAACCAGGCATAATGCCCTTTCCCAAGGGCTGGTCCCTCCTGATAACATGTCCAAAGTACGTGAGACAAAATCTCACCA